GAACGCTTATTGATGGTCAGGCCTAATGCGGTAATACTTTGCAATACGGTCATGGGGACCAGATTAGTCCAGCTAGTGTATAGATGTCCCGGCTATGATAACGGCACGGTGTGCGTTAACTTGGCCTTAAAAAGAGAGGTTATGCCGATGAAACGACAGTACCCAAGGCCTACTGTGAAATGCCAATTTAAAGTGGAAAAGACCATGCGATATCATCTGGACTGAATTCATACATTTGTTTCCTTTCAACTATCCTTCGTAAAAGCTGTTGGCAGAATTATTAGTAGTACGGAGCGAATATGTTTTAAACCTGCTGTGCATTCATTCGGCCATTTATAACACTCACTTTTCTGGAATTACAGACACAGAAAGTGCGTACCTAAACAACGCTTATGGTCCCCAGACTGTGCCTGGCGAATATTCCATAAAGTGATTATACTAAATGAACTTTTACGTGTTCCTAAGGAGGATCAGAAGTACTGGTCAAACATTGAAAAATGATTAAACTAACATTCTGTGTTTCTATTTTGGCCAGGAAAGCCTACAACGTGGTACACTGCGCTGTCGTACATCAGTTTTTTCTAGATTTTGCTTTTGAAAGTGCGACTAAGGACTTTATTCGCGAATTTTGGCGCATGCTGCTGTTTTTTAAGGCCCATTTGAAAAGCATGTACGGTAAACTTGAAGTGGTTGAATTACTAACTTTTTCGACAATTTGGATTAGGTATTACATTATTATTTTTTCTGTGATGAGAAGTGCCTTAGAAAAAGTATAATCAGCGGTTGGTTTGTTCCTAATTAGCAGAAGACCTTTTCACCATTCTTTTGTTTTATGCCTGAACTCAACTTGGGACCCCTGGTAGTTCAACTTCTATAACTCCGTTTCCCTGTTCCAATTATGAGGACCTCGCTGCAGGTCTACTGCTGCCTTGGAATTTTGGCCAGCTCATTTTAGTAGTTTTTCTATTCTTGATCATTAGAAGTATGGTGGATATTAGGATATCGCGTGCAAGTCCAATAGCTCTTCCTTCACGGGCAACATTTTGCACAGGTAACTGGATAACACAGTTAAAAGACGGACATTAATGGTCATGAAGTGGAGGGTATTTCGATAATTGTGTGCTTTCTGACGTTCTAGTAACTATCCACAGCTTGTTGATGTAATACTTCAGCCTGAAAAACCATTAATGTCCGCACTTTTGCACTGCCAATCAAAAGTCAGCTGTCTGGACACGCTGTGTTAAATTGACGCCACTGGAACGGGGTGAGAGGGCATATTTACGTCACGGTCGAGCTCGTAATTGCACTTATCAGCTATGCCCTTAACTGCCTTAGTTGGCGCCGCCTGTCCCCCTTTCGAATGACTCCCGCATTTGCGTATTATCCTCTTTCAATACCCGTTGTATGGATTTTCCGTGGGACATGTTAGCCGGATGGAGGTTGACATGCACGTAATCCAGGTTTCAAGTGGCTCACTGACCTTGTCATCGTTTCTTCAATTAATTTGTCCAACCTTTTTGAGGGTTGACATGTTTTTGCATGTCCTTCTAGAACTTTAGGAGGTAGATTTTACACCTTTGACTTATTTACGTTTGAAGATGACGTTTGATCCGTATATTTTCAGTATATTAATAATCCTTCTACTACTATAGGATGCAGTGTTTTACTCGGCACCGAAACACATCCGCATGCTAGATGTTTGTATGGCATTCTAAAAACAATAGTCTTGCTTATATATTCGCCTTGTTGTCTTCCCCGCGCCTCTCCGTAACTCAAAAACGGACTCTTGTCTAAGAAGTGTATATTATAATCAAATATCTAAGCTGGTTGGTGCTTATTAGTAAATAGTATAACATTTTTTTTCGACAAAGTGAAATCTCAAAAAGCATGACAACTATTGGATGTGCATTCCTTCAAATGAATACATGGTTGTGATAACGGCTTATTGGTTACATTATTTTTAACCGTGCCTCGCACTTTGAAAGAACATGACATAATCCTGCTGGATTACCTTAACCTAAACGAAAACAGTGCTTATCCCGATTCTCAACGATAGCCAACGCCGTTTGCATGGCTTTAAAGACACCCATCAGACAGTACGCCCAATAGTTAGTTAGCTTGCAAAAAGCTCCACAGAAATCTGAATGACATAACATTACCCTGGCCTTCAACTCGTTTAATTTTCTATGTAAACCAATCTTCCAATGCGCTGTATGTTTCCTACCCGTTTGCGTCTCACTTTGTCTTGCTCTGGAAAAGTTTTTCCACCGTTTTACCACTTTAAGTCTACACATCTTTATTCAAACCTCTACCATGTTATGACACCGGCTAGTGCACAGACTAAACCCGATTTCTTTACTGCCTTTTACTTTCAGCAATGGAAAAATTGTGGTCTGCGAGAGGACTTCTACCTCCCAAAACCAAATAACTACGTACCCTCTGATTTCACACTTAAAACAGAAATCAAGGATGGCGAGACTGATGAAGATGTTTCTCCAATACCACTGCGGCATGATCAGGGCTCGCGACTCTGGTTCAAAGCGGACAAAGAGCATAGACTGCCCAAGGTCTTTGTTAACTTTAACCTCATAAGGTAAGCCGCAGTAGTGGGTTTTTTTAATCCGAAGAATCACTCGTATGCCTTTCTAAAAACATTCACTTTGGGCTATAGGTCTAACTGTTAGGAATTTAGAAAGAGAGCAGAGCTCTTTGAGGTTACTCTTCCGAAACGTGTCGGGCGGCCGATTGTTTGGATGGACGCTTTTTTGTTTCCCTTAAAATCTTGTGGTTGCATATGTTATTTTATGTGAAGTTTTATGCAACTTTCATGGAATCCCTATAATACATTTATTGCCAATACAAGCGAACATGCGAGTCCCAGGAAGCAAATGCGAAGAATACTCGATCGCTGGGACAATACGTTTATTCGCCTGACATTTCGACATCCGTCGCGGATTCATCATCGGTGACATGAGACATTTCCTGCTACTGTTTCCTACTCATGTCTCTGATGATGAATCCGCGACGGATGTCGAAATGTCAGGTTGATAAACGCATTGTCCCAGCGATCGAGTCTTCTTGTTCTCAATACATTTATTCTCTACACAGATTTTATGACGGTTCTTTTGTGGGGAGGCGTGGGTTGGCCAGCCCTATTGTCATATGACCTGAGGTGTTTGTTGAGCTGTTTGCTATGAAATTTGATTCAGACAATTACCTTTACTGCTTCGAAAATAAAAATATTTTGAATAGCATCCGCATTTGCTAAAGTTATTTGCGCAGCTCCAGCTAAGTATTAACGCCCGTGGACCCGTTAGCGATCAATATGCCATCTGGTCGTTTTAACGTGCGACAGGGCGTCATTCGACCCGTGCATCTCCCTGTCGGAGAAACCTGCTCATCGAAATTGAAGGCGTCTTCCTTTTATGGATCACAATAACAGTAAATTTTCACTTTTTCGTAACTTGCGGCTTCTTTAAACTTTTGGTATATCCAAACAAACTATTAGCACTTTTATGGTTTCTTTAAGGTTTCAATTCGGTTAAGGATTTTTTATTACCATTTCCAAGTATTCGTAAATGCGTTACCACCGGTTTTCCAGTGATTATCGGTCTTTCGTAAATTTCGTCAGTTTGTATCAGATAGGTCCCGTGCTGTACGTCCAACTGCCTGAAAGTTTGGATCGGCAAGCCTTGCCGCCATTGGGTATTCGTGAAATCCATTTTCTCCAATATAATTTTCATCCACTTTTCTGTGGTTTATGTTTTAGACGACGGCAGGTGTATCTAGAAGGCGCCATCCTATCCTTAGATTACATCAAACTTTGACTGAGCGTGCTATGTAACCTCTGGGCTGTCTGCATTTTCGCTTAGTTGTCATCGGCCCTAGATATGAGTAGACGGCGTAACGGGACGAGGTTGGTGCTGGTCGGGATACGACAGCATCTGTATAGAGGCACGGCTATGGCTTCAACAATTTGTAGCTTCTAAGCAGTACTTCTACTCAAAACATAACAATTATCAGGCTAAAGCCAGGTTTGTTGCTAAAAGACAGAAGGCACCAGAATGAAGGCTTTACTGTGCACAGATCCCCCCACCTGGATTGTTGGTTCAGGCAGCAGCCT